CCCCGCCGCTCGCCTGATCGGCTGTGCGGAGCCCGGAGCGCTGGGGAGCGCGGGCGGGGCTGGCGCGGAGGAGGGGCCGCGTGGGGCGCTGCCTGCCTGGGACTGCCCGCGGACCTGTCTCCGCCTGCCCGAGCCCTGCGGCCGTGCTCGAGGAGCAAACCCCCGGCGGCTCCGTGACTAAAAGCCCCAGAGGCGCTCCCACCCTCCCCACACTCAGTCACCGCCCGTGCCTGCTTCCCCCGCCCTGTCGGAGGTTCACGGGGATCCTGCCCGCTTAGGGAGCCCACCGCCCCCGCTCTCCTTTTGGCTGGGAGCTCAACCACCGGTGCTGCAGGTGCCGGCGGGGTGTGGCGGGGCCCGGCTCGCACCGCCCCGGCCCCTCCCGCCGGGGTCCTCGCCGTCCCCTGCGCCCGCCCCGCTGCCCCGCCCCGCCCGGCCGACAGCGGGTGATGGCGCCGGCCTGCGCCTGAGGAGCCGTAGCGGGGGACGGTGGGGGAGCCATGGAGGAGGACCCGGAGCTGGAGAGGTGAGGGACGAGTGACAGCGGGGGCAGCTTGCCCGAGAGCGAGCGGCCTCTGCGGGGCTGCTGCGCCGCTCAGGGCCCGGCAGCGCCTCCCGCGCCGCGAGGCCCGGGCAGCGCTGGGCTGGGGCCGGCGGCGGCCGTGGGGCGGCTCCTCCCGGCCCGAGCGCTCCGCGGCGCTGAGCGGGCCCCGGGCTCCGCCGAGCTCTGCCCGCTGGCCCCAGACAGCCCCTCCTGTGGGTGTGCGGTCAGGGTGCGCCCCGAGGGGAGCGCGGCCTGGGACTGCTTCTGTCTTCCGCACAGAACTTTGGGTGCGCGCTGATGTCGCTTAGGAACAAGATTAGAAGGTCTTGAGAGGTTCACCCCTCATCAGTTACAATTTGATGAGTCGCGTGCTTGGTGAAATAAATTTTTTAAATCCCAAAACACTTTCTGTTGTTAGGAATTTCAGTTTTCAGTGCTAGGTATGTGCCCTTTGACCAGTTGTTAGGATTGTGTTCTTGTATCAAAAAAAATACAAAATGCTTGGCAGTTATTTTGTAAAAAAATAAAATTGTTTTCCACTTGGCATTTCATTGGGACCAGTGGATTCGTCTTGCTGCGCATTTTGAGTTGCAGTGCTCCCAAGCAAACACTGACAAATAAAACATTGATTTCTATATTTGTATACTCAAAGTACACCCCTCTTACCTTTGTTTTAGGAATAGACTTTTGGTGTTTACATCACAAATGTTTTGCAAAATAGTCCTACTTGTTGGATTGGATTATTTTTTTAAATTTTTTTTTGCAAGCTTGTTTCTGGGTTGTTCACTTTATCTGTGGCTGTTTAAAAAAAAACTGTTACGGTGAAGCAATGACCAGAAGCTTTCTGAACTGTTCTTCTCATGGTTTTCTCCTTTAAGAAACTGTATCTGGGCATGCTTATAGAAAATAACTTTTTTTCTGTTTATATCTGGCATGTATTTGAAATGTGGCAAAAGCAATAGCACTGAGACAGTGGAAGGACTAGAGAGCATAATGCTTTCTAAGAGGCTTTTAATTCTTGCTAAGCTACTGCTGCTCTCAGATCATCAGTTTAATAATTAAAGCTTCTTTCTTTCTTTCTTTCTGTGTATGCATGAATGTTATTTTTACTGGTGCCATTCCAAACTTTAACCCTTTTCATTCATGGCAAGTTGAAGCTATGCCACCGTTCTTGCATGCTGCTTCATGGTTGCTGTTGCCATGCTGGGGACCTGGGGTTCTCTGGGCACTGCAGAGCATAGCTGAACTCACCAGCTATAGCCGGTGACTCCACAGTCATCTCCTGACTGATGCTCTTCTTCCCAGGAACTACACTCCAAGTTTTACTCTTCCTCAAAGGTTCAGTCCACGTTGGGATTTGCTATTCCTGTTCCGTGGCAGCGTGGTAGACAATGAGGATGAAACTCAGTGTCACTTATCAAAGGGTACACAGTAAGGTTTACCTGTCTGATGTCACCAATCCATGCCACTACTCACCTCAGAGTGTGTTTAGTTAGCCCCAAACACATTATTACTGCAGTTTAGTGCACTTGATGATTAGCTCTTTCTGTCCTGGATCCATCTATCATTAGTTACTTTTTCATACCTTAAGTAAGGTAACAGCTCAATTTGGTAGTAGCACCCTGAATTCAGCTCATGTTGTGTGCATTTAGAGGGTGTCCTTTGGTATTACTCGCTCTAAATAGTGCTTCCCTATACAGTCTTGAGTACAGAGCCCTTCCAGTCTAATACAGACCTTTCTTTATCCTTTGTGATACAGACATTATGCCTCAGATTCATATTCAATAACTTATTGATCATATTCTCCTGTGAATAGTGTAGCAGTGGTAGGTAGTCTAGGGTTATAATTTTAAGGGTTTTATAGTATGGCTTTAGTATACAAATAAAAGCATTTATGTTCTGTAGCCACAGTGTTAACTACTTTAGGTGAATTTTTAGTGTTTAAAAATGGGTTTATTTGGAATATTTTGAGCAGTCTGTCTCTGAATTCAGACTTGTCTTGCAATGCACAAGTCTTGAATAAAAACTTACAGTTTTTGTACATGTGGTTTTTATTTAACTTATCATGAGGGAAAAAGAAGTGTAATATTTTTGTGCATGTTTTTTCAGGTCAGAATTTAATTTTGTGTCCCAGTATTCCAAAAAGTGATCTGTAAAGTCAGTCGCCCTATTTTTGTTACTATTTTAGGAGAAGTCTCTTCATCTAGATTCTTTTATTTTATCCTTACTGCCACATTTCCTGATATTATTTTTCAGTTTTACCATGTCTGACTCTCACTTGATCTTGCTTTTGATGTTTTCCTCACTTTAATATGATGTGAAGTTTGCCTAGAAAGCTGAGTACTAACTTGTAAGTTCCTGTCTGACTGTTGCATTCTGTGGATTTTAAAACTCTAAGAGCTGTAACAGAAGTGTAAAGTAGTAATATTTGATACATTGTACTGAACTACATCAGCTCCGTCTCACCCAATAACCTGTGATAGAAGTATGAACTGTTATTTTCCCCTGTGAATTTGCTGGTACATCAGTGAAGACCCTGAGGACTCTGAGCCTTGAGGTTCCATGTGACTCTAAAGAAAATTCTAAATTATGTTAACATATAATTAATGGTATTGTGAAGTTATGACTCAAGAAGGAGGTGGAAAATGTTGCAAATCAGCTAGTAGGAGTGTTCAGTTTATTTCCTCTGCAAGCACCCGAGTGCTTTTCCTAGTTTATTTCAACTAAATATACATTGAGATACTATATATTATTTCATTCCTATCTAAAAAATTAAAAATTTCTTCCCATTCTGCTTCCTAAAGTATTGTCTTGGTGGTTCTGTCTGTTTGAAGCACAGAAGATGCATAATTTCTCTTCGAATACAGAGGAAGTGGCTTTGTTATACTGTGTGTCTAAATCCTTCCATAATCTATTCTGTCTTTCAGTAGCTACAAATATTTCACAACCTTGGATATCATACTTTATTAGAAGTACCTGCTAAGCTTGTTTAGAGCATCATTTACTTGGGATTAAGTGTTTCCTAAGGAGATCCTGCTCTGAATCACAAAGAATGCTATAATTCTGTAACAAGAGGCCTGTAGTTGAGTTACAAATCAATAATCTAATATTTTTGCTGCACAGGCAGCCCAACTACACTTTTTAACAAGCAAGCTTTGTGCCTTGGAGAAAACTGATGGTTCTTACTATTGATTTTAACAGTTAAAGTCAAGTGCCAGGATTCAGTATTCCATACTCTTGGCAAAAAAAAAAAAACAAAAAAAAAACCCCAAAAAAACCAAAAACGTGGTCTGCAGCTAGGATTGGTGTTTGGAATGGAGTGGTACACTCACTACACAGGCTGGTGAGAATATCAACACAGAAATGTACTGCAAATAGCACTCACAAGACTGACAAGTAGAATACCTAAGTAAGTACAAAACCTGATCAGCAAAGAATGAGAGTATTCACATCCCTGATGTGAAATGTCTTTGCCTTTGAACAAATGTCAGGAAGCTTGTGGTGTATTGTGTTTCTTTTCATTCTTGCTCTTGTAGTTGTGGCCTAGGCTTTATTCCTGACTTTCATTTTTATCAGCTTTCTTAGTAAAGGTGAGCAGATAGGACCAGCTCATTAGATTTAATTTTAAGTAACACTGTCAGTGTCTTCAGCCACTTATTTGACTGAAGGTCTTGATATTCATTATTCAACTGTAGTTGGAATACCAGCATTCACTTCTATTTCTAGTCCTATGCAGAGTTAAAAATAAGTTGTATAGTTAGCATTAAACTTACTTGAGAAAATTGATTTTTAAAATTGCTAATTGTTTTTCCTGAGCTTGTGGCTTGCTGTCAGGACCTAGAGTGCCTCAGGAAGTAGGCTTAAGGAACGAGGGGATAAAAAGGTCTGGTCATGTGTGTATAGGCTGCTGGTTGGTACTGTCATCTGGCTGCGCTCTGCGCCTAGTCGTCACAGTCTGTCCTGTCTTCCTGTTAAATTCCTTTCTAACTCTGTCTTGGGTGAAGGACTCTGTTTGAGGGGAGAGAGGGTATGCCTCACTGCTAGCAGCTACAGTCAGACTGTGGGTTGGAGGAACCATGTGTCCTTGGTGCCCACAACTGGAGCATGTGAAGGTTTGGATGCCAGCAGCTGGGCTTGGACCCTGGGCTGGAGGCTTGGGTGCTGGCAGCTGGGGACATTTTGTAGGATGAGTAAAACCAAATGTTAGCCCCTGAAATGGGGTTGGGGCCATGTGTTTATCTGTGTTGTAGTACTGGAGCAAGTAAG